AACAGCAAAGGGGGGTGAAGTCCAGACCGCAGCAGGATTCATAACAAAGGTTCTCCACTCAGGACAGGATGAAAAGCTCGAGTTCCACCATGTTTGGTTCCAAGAAAAAGAAGTTTATTTATTCACTTTTAAAAATAGAAAACTGTTTTTGATATAAAACAGCAAATGCCTGATTCATGCACAGGTCCCATTTTCCTGGTGAAGTTTCGGTGTTTCGTAGAAACAGGACTGACTGAGTCCTTCTCACAAACTTGGAGGAAAATGAATCATGTGCTTGGGATTCAGTTTGAAGAGAAAAATCCAATTGTCTAAACAGAGGCTATGATTGTAAAACTCAAATTATGTAAACTGGGTGCTTTGACTCAGTTGCACAGTGGCTCTCCTGGATGAATGCAGCTGGGGAGGAGAAAAATCCTAACAACTTTTCAAAGCTCCATGTGACTTGAGTATTCATTTGACTTTCTGACACGGAGGAAGAATTTCTGGAGAAAAAGTACACTTCTTCTGCCAACATGCCAGCGTTATCTTCCAAAAACATGGTTTGGAAACTATCACTTTCTGCAGAGGCCCCTCTCACTCTTTCTAGAATGTGGTAAAGCCATTGGGAACAGTCTCTGTCACAAAGTCTCACGTGGTTGCCCTTAAATTTGTGTCCCTGAGAAAACCAACAACAGTTCCTTTCCTCTCTTTCTTATAGAAGAAGGTGAATGGAGTCACAGAAGGGAGGTCCTGTGGGTCAACTGTATCTCCCTGTGAAAGATATGTTGCAGTTCCAACCCCAGTACCTGTGGATGTGACCTTATTTGGAAATAGGGTCTTTGTAAATGCAATCAAGTTAAGATGAAGTCGACTGGAGTAGGTGGGTCCTCACCTGTGGTTGGTGTCCTTACAAGGAGAGAGAAACTGGGGTCCAGAGACACAGGGCCATGTGCCAGTGGAGGCAGAGGTCGGGGTAGGACATCTACAAGGTGGGGAACACCCAGGATCACTGGCAGCACCAGAAGCTGGAGGGAGGCATGGAGCAGATTCCCTCTCAGAGCCTCCACGAGGAGTCAGCCCTGCAGACGACTTGCTTTCAGACTTCTGGTCTCCAGAACTGGGAGAGTATACATTTTTGCTGCGTTAAGCCCACCCAGCTTGTGGTCATTTGCTACAGCAGCCCTGGGGAACTAATACAGGAGGTGAGTAATTTTTCTTTAAACCTGACACTGGGGTCACCCAAGACTCAAAGCTGGACGTCACAGCTCTGCGGGAGATGCAGCCTGGCTTCTGATCTGGGTGCTCCAGGACAGCTGAGGAACCAGTGACAGTTTCTGTCACACATGCTGGTCTGAGGGTGCCCACGCTGCCTGGGCTTGTTCATCGCAAGGGTTGATAAAAATTGACCCTTGCCTGGGGCGTCTGGGTGGCTCAGTCGGTTAAGCGTCCGACTTCAGTTCAGGTCATGATCTCATGGCTGGTGGGTTCAAACCCCGTGTCGGGCTCTGTGCCGACAGCTCAGAGCCTGGAGCCTGCTTCGGATTCTGTATCTCCCTCTCTCTCTCTGCCCCTTGCCAACTCACACTCTGTCTCTCCATCTCTTAAAAATAAATAAACATTAAAAATTTTTTTAAAAAAATCAACCCTTGGCCTGAAAGAAGGTCTGGGGGATGTATCAATCAGGCATCCATTGATCGGTCAAAGACCAAGTGTGCAAGTGTGGAACAGTATGTTCAGTGTAGGGAACTCTAAGATCTCTGTGTTAGAGACAGAGAGCAAGCAATCAGAAATGGAAACATAAACGTCAAATATTATAAGGAATGTATTTTTCAAACTGTGAAGAGCTGAACAGAGTTTAGGTATTTCTATCACCACCCATCTTACAGGGTCATTGGGGAGACCAGCAAGTGTAGAAACTGAAAGCTTGCTGGGTTTTCTGGAAAATTGCTGTAAGATGTCACATCGTAATGCAGTGTTTTGAATGCATCTGGCTTCACTGCTAGACCCTAGAGATCGGAAAAGAAATCTGAACATCTGTGTACTTATTATGTAGGTGAGTTTCTACAAGGTTCCACTGCATCTGGTTTACAGGCACTTTTCACGCAAGCCTTCAGTGGCCATATGAAACCCATGACTTTTTGCTAGAAATACCGGCACAGGGAGATGGGACCCAGCTAGGTAACGAGTGGATGTAAGCACTGCAAACATTTCGGAGTCTTGCCTTACCTGTGCTATTTTAATCGATGGTGTGCGAAGGTATGAAAGTAATTTATGCATTTAAAAGTTTTACATACTTAATAAAAATTAAGAACTTAAGAATTATAAACAAATACAGAAATGAGAAGCCTTGAGACAGCACAGAATAAATGTTAAGGAAGTGTCACAGGAGAGGGCACCAGATGATAAGACTGAGAGGAAATCTGTGACGATGAGGGTGGAGGTTATGGTCTCACCAGGAGAAGGACAACGCACGGAAGGGCCAGTCACAGACAAGCATTCGCTGCAGACGAGTGATGGGCGACAATCAGCGGGGACAGAGGGACAGTGTAAATTAAGGGACAGAACCAGCTCAGATAAACTCAGCAAAACCCATCACAGAGGAAGGTCCGCAGGCAAAGCAGGAGGAGTTTAGATGGGGTATCTCAATTTTGTGGTCTTACAGCCGCTTGTGTGGTCCCCAGCCCTGTGGACTCCCCCAGCGTGACGGCCTGCGGCCGCTCTGATCAAGCCCTTGCTTTGGCCGCTGGGTGTCTGCCGTGCCCCGGTTCTAAACCCTCGGTCCAAACCTCCTCCTGCACGACGGGCCGAGCCCTTCTGAGTGTGGGAGCGTTCACAGATTCCCCTTCCCCCAGTCACAGAGAACCCGCTACTGTCATTACGTTTTCTTCAGCCTAGAAGGGAAGGACTTGTTGTTCTGGTTACATCTTAGGGGCCATGTTAATCTACCCGAAGTGTCGCAGGAGCCGGGAAGGAGAGCCTCTAGAGCTGGGGGTGGGGACATCGTTTTTGGTCAGAGGCTCGTAGGAATCTCTGGAGTAGCGAGTAGCGTTGGGGTGTGAAAGCAACACAGGGGAGGGAGTTTAATCAATGCTGCTTGGGTCCACTTTAGTCTCTGCCGAGAAACATGGGGGAAAATAAAATCACTGAGAATTAATTTTGGTTGTTAAACTGGACTTCTTAAATGCATGCCTCTGCTGGACCGAGGGGGGCTCACAGGCCATCGGTGGGGGGGGGGACCCTCCACGCGATCTCAGCATGCCCGACGCTCCTCCTCACGCTGCATCCCCCTCCCCCCGCCCCGTGACACTGCACTCGACACTCTGAATCCCACCCTTGCCCACATCTGAAATGCCACGTCATCTTCCCTTGATTCTTCTTCCCCCACAAAAATCCCAAGCAATCAAACTGGGTGTAATCATCCCCTTCTGAAGTCTCACCCCCATGACAGTCGTCACCACCGCTCACGGGGTTAACTGTCCCTCAGCGCAGGACGGGGATTCGCTTTCACTGCGGCTAAGTCCATGGTCTCTCATCATTGCATCTTTTGTACATTTATGTTTCTTTGTTTGTCTTTTGGAAAGTCCCTTTTTAAAAATGAGGGTTTGGTCAGGCTTTGGGGGAAAGGTCAATTTGGGTATTCAAGTTACTTTCATCAGAAAATAGGTTATCATACAAAAAATATATACAGAGAAATTTTGTAGAGAAGAGGGCTAGTTTAAGCTTACCTTACGATAAGGCAACATGCTCAATATTTAAATGGATTTTAAACAATGGATCCTTGTCTGGGATGTTCTTTAAATGCACTTTGATTTTTCTCTTCTGTATTTTATCATGATGCTTCTGTGTTTCCTTCTGGGGACAAGATTCCAGATGCGTGATTGTGTAGCTCTGGTCAGACTCTTGTCTCAGCTCCTAGTGGGTCGGTTTCCTGGCCACATAAACCCTACATTTTCCCAGGCTGTAATTTCCCAAAGATCCTGCCACGGGGCGGCAGGTGTCGCTGGCCCGGTAGCCGGGAGACCTTGATGCTGGTTCCCTGTGCATCACCCAACCTCCTGTCGACGGATGAAGCCAGTGGACCGGTTCTTAGGCTCTCTCCTCTTTCGGCCACTTGCTGTCTGCTTCCCGGGCAGCACAGGAAAGAGGAGTTTGGTACCACCTTCCTTCGAGGGGACTGGGGGAGGGGGTGGCTACAGTTGTAATTCAGAGGTTCCCCATCGTCTTGGGAGAACGTCTGGGGCTGAGCCTGTGGTGGTCAAGGGGCCGAGTCTTCCTGGCTTTTCACGATTTTGGAAGATACTCACAAAAAGGGGATGAGGTCACACACCGGTGTGCAGCTGGCGAAGGCCGACGAAGACAGTGCTCTCACAGACATTCCTCCTTCTGCACCCACGAGTCGTGGGCCTGAATTGGTCCTGGTCCCAGTCAGTTCCACCTGAAGCAACATGGTCTCAGGAGCTCTTGAGACACGCTTTGTAACAACCGTATTTATTTGTGGATTCAGACCTTATCCTTCCAACATACGAGGACAAGACTCAAAGACACTGGTTTTTCCACCGTGGGACATGCCCACTGCTTCGTGTATGCTGACGGGTGTGATCAGGAACTTTCTGGGATAAGTTACCCCCACGTTAGGTTATAGGATGCTAATTTCTTTTCTGCCTGAGACTTCTAGATCACCTCGACCCTTAAATATGCTTAAGAAGTTGAGCTTTGAGACGTTTATTACCTTTATAAATGGCGAAGGTTCGTCAACGTGTGGGACACTTATCTACTTCCTAGGACTTTTTGTTTGGAGAATGTGGAGGAACTCTGGGATTAAGTGGCCTAGCGGGTAAACGCCCTGATAAGCCATAAACCACAGAGATGGTCCGGTAACCCTGCCCGCGTGAGCCCACCTGGGCGGGTCCCTGCCTGGTCTGGGACGGGCTCCCACCGCCACCCCCCTGACGGTGGGGTGGCCGGGACGCCCGCGGATCTCAGCGCTGACTTAGAGGCGGGTCCAGAGGGCCGCAGCCTACCTTCGCACTTGAGGAGGAAGAAGTCCGCGCTGTGGCTGAAGGATGCACTGAAGTAGGTGCAATTCTCCACCAGGTCACAGGACATGCACTGCCTGTTGAAGCTGCCCACCGTGCTGGCACTGGAGGAACAGAGACGGCGGGGCGTGAACCCAGGCGGCGAGGAGACCGGCCCAGGGCGCAGGGTCCAAACCCCCAGCTCGGCCGTCAGGGCTGGTGGCTTCTCTCCTTTCAAGGGCGCTCGGGAGTCCCTGACGCTCCACGGTGGGCCTTTCTCCCGCCCGTCCCCCCGGGAAGGCCCGAATGCTCTGCTCTGTTCTCCCCTTCCCTGGCGGGCGGGCCCCCCTCGGAAGAGCTCACGGCACGCGTGCTCTCTGGGTGCACACGTGACAGTGCACGCTTGGTCACCTGCGCCTGTGCGTGCCCCCGCTGGGAAGGGGGAAGGCGCACAGTGCCTGGTGCCGTTATCTAGTACTTTGGACCCACGCCTCTGGTCTGAGAAAATGGCTCGCTCTTTGAGAACAGGAGCTCGTCTTCCGAATCTCCGAATTTCCTAGGAGAACCTAGCACTGGTGCACGACGCGTCAGGAACCCCAGGGGCATGGGCTGAACCGGGCTCCGGCTGCTTCGGAGCCACACGGAGACATGGAGCTTCTCACTTGTTGGGAGGGGAGGCGGAGCAGGAACCCCGGGACCACATGGAACAAGCACACGCTCACGTCAAGAAGGCCTGAAATGTGTTCCCCGAAATGAAGATCCCGAGGAGGCTTTGCATGTACCTGGAGGGGGTTCCTGCCTGAGCACTTTGCCGGGGAAGGTCCCCTCCCCCCACAGGCCCCGCAGGAGACCTGCCCACGAGGGTGACGGTAGCTCGCGCCCAGGAGAAGACGGCCTTCTAACGGTATTCATAAGGCGGAGGGAAAGGGAGGCGGTCCGCCTCGAACCCCTTCATTCTTGGGGTGACAGGACTGATCTAAGTTATGCTGGCAGACACGCCCAGCTACATGGAGCAGCGGGCCTGCGACCACGTGGGTTTGCCAGAGTTCTCTCCCCTCCAGAGGGACTCCCCTGTGCTGGCCTCCTGTGCCCTCAGTACACACACCGGTGGGTGGGAGGGGACACGCTGGTCCTCCTGAGAGGGATTCCCCAGTGTCCCCGCGGCAGGGAGGGGAGCCAGGCATCGGCTCCATCCAGCCTGAGTCACCCCCTCGGGCCCTCGGGTCCCCGCGGGGCGGCTGGTGTGCCTGCGGGCTGTGACCAGCACCCACCGACCTTCTAGTCTGGGAAACACGGAGGAGGTAAGAGGTTGTGCTATTTCCACGTCTGGGGATCCCAGTTCAGAACCCAAGGCTTTCCCCGGTGGGAACAGTGACTGGGGCAGGTGACGGGACCTGATGCCAGGGAGAACAGACCCTGGAAGAAGTCGCCTCTCCAGGGTTCAGACGGCACCCTTCCTCTGCCTCGTCTGGGGTTCCGGATCTGACCGCTGTCACAGCAAGACGGTGGCGACGCGGAGCCCGTAGAGGGCCTCCTCCCCGCCCGACACGGGGCACGCCCGACCCGACTTGCCTCCCATCAGCCCCCCGCGGGAATGAGCCCGCCACGTCACATTTGCATAAAGTTGAGAAGAAAGAGGCTGGGTTATCAACACGAGAAAGCACGTCGGGGGTGGGGAGCAAACACCCCCGCGTTGGACAAGTGCAGAAAAATCAAGCTTCAAATTTGGCGGCCTCTGCATTTCTCGTTATTTGTCTCTGGACCTTACAGCTGCCTCTGTGGCGGTCCCCTGCGCCCCCCCCCCCAGGGGGTACCGCGTCCCTGCATGAGTCACCAGGCCTTCTGAAGGCGGAGCCCCGTGTGCGGCTGGCCCACGTACCTGTAGAGCTGTCGCCTCCGAGGCAGGTCCTCGGTGCTCAGGAAGTAGCTGCAAAGACCGGGGGGACAACAGGGATTAGTGGTCCCAGGGTGGGCTCGCGTCCCCTGCAGGGCTCTGTCTGCAGACGCTCCCCGGGACTCTGCCCGTGCGTGGTGACGGGACCTCCTGTCCCGCTCAGGCCCAGCCCCGGGCGCGGGCGGGGAGAGCCGCATACCCAGGGGCCTCACCGGGGCTCCGCCGGGGGCCGAGGACGGTGTACAACTGGACTCAGGTGTGGGCATCCCTTTACAAGCCGTTGGCCTCCCGGAGGGCCGGGACCCGAGCACCCTCGACACCAGTCCAGACGTAAAGCCTGGGGCAGTGGCGTTCGTCTGCCACTGGAGCGCGGGCACCCGGGCCTGGCCTCCACCGTCGGAGCTGAATCCTGGCTCCCTGTCACCGTCTGGATAAGCCGCAGTCAACGACTCAACCGCTCTGTGTGTCGGCCCATTTACATTAGGAGTGGGGAAAGCAGTGACCTCCCTCCCTCCCCCGGACTGCTGAGCCGCAGGACAGGACGGTCACAACGCGCCCCGCACGGGGCCTGGAGCTCACAAGGAGTACAGAGCCGTCCTGCCACCGCCTGTCCCCCTGTGTCACCCCACAGGGCCGGCCGCTCAGCTTCCTCTGCTCAGTGTCTGGCAACTTTGGAGGTGGGGCCGCTGGGAGACAGAACCTAGTGAGTGTCGTCTGACCGGAAGTAAGGGCTGCGTTTCGCCAGGGTCTTGCCGGCCCCGCGGCCCGCCCCACTTACATCTTGTTCCGCTTCTCGTCGTAGGACAGGATCTTGGTGACGTCCCAGTCTCCAGATGTGATGGACTGAATGTTGTCGTTGCTGCTGTTGGGCTGGAACACAGACAGGACATGGCAGAGCTGGTGAGCCCGAGCCCCTCCGTGGGGTCCCCACCCCCCCCAAGTCCCCTCCTCTGACCGGGGTTTGCATCCAGCCTGTCCACAAAGCCTCGGCTGACACCCCCAGGTCCTAGCCCTCCCCCTCCTCCAGAGTCCACGTCCGTGGTACTTGTCACCTGGTGCCACGACGGCCGGGGCCACCAACCATGACACATGGGTGTCACTAGAGGCAGCAATGGCCACTGTGCACATGCCGCTGATGCTGTTTTGTAAAATTTGTGAATCTCATTAGCAGAGTCATTACTACAGGAAGACTGGGAGGGAGGAAAGAGGAATATGGGGGGGTATGAAACAGGACAAGGAAATAGACGGAGGGGAGGGAGGAGGGAGGGAGGGAAGAAGGGAGGGGGGAGGGAGGGCGGGAAGGGGGGGGGAAGACAGGAAGGAGAGAGGAAGGGAAGGAGGGAGGAGACACGTCTGTCATTCTCTGCCACCATTTACAAGGACGGTTCGAATCCTCTCTCTCCCTAAGTGCCTCCCAATGTGGAATAATTCTGACAATAAACCGTAATGGAGGGAGGTGCGGCCATCGCGACAGGAGCGACGTGACCTGGAACGCGGTGTGGAGGTGCAGGGTGAGGCACCGGCCAGCTGTGCTGGAGGGCAGGTGCTCAGGGAGGCAGGTGGGAATCGGATGGTGACTAAGTCAGGCAGAGCCCATGGGGGTCTCAGGGGAAGGGAGAGCCTGCGGGGAGCAGGGAAGCGGGGGTGCGGGGGATTCTGGATGACAGGGGTGGCCTGAGGGGCTCCTGGCCAGGGGGGTGCTCTCCTGGATGAAGGCGGGCCTGCTTCCTGCAGGGATGTTAACAGGGCACTCTGTGCATGAATTCAGGGACACGGCCACATGCAAACACATAAACGTTTTCGATCTAGGTTAACGTGATCCAAAATGTGGAAACAGGACTCTGGTGCCACAGTGACCAACGGAAAGTCGGCCAGAGAGCAGTCACCGTCAGTCATGCGGTCACTTGGGCTGGAGACTCAGGCCCCTGCAGCCTTGCCTCGGGGAACCAGGCCCCCCACGGTCACTGCTGGGTCTCTGCTACTGTTCCCTGTGTCACACCTGCCCTTAAGTGGGGCGTCCTCAGCATGTTCTTTTGAAATTGTCTTTTGGCCCAAATCCTAAATAGGAGTCTTCTATTAGTAGCTACAGGATATTTTTGATAACTATTTAAAACCAAATTTTAATTCACCTATCCTGGGCCCCAAATAATTTAAGCTCTCTCAGAAATGGAATCCACGCTCGGAAGACGAGGGTCATGGTCACAGAAATGCCACGCCCTCTCTGCACCTTCTTCCTAAAGGCAGCCCTCCCCACTCAGTGCCCTGAGCTTCCTGGGGCGACAGGTCTGCAACAAACAGCGTTCACTAAGATCTCTGCTTCCGGTTCTAACTCCGCGTACATTAAGCTCAGCGATGCCCTGCTCCTAAGCCACCAGACCCCAGAATCAGGTGAGTGGCAGCAGGTGGGAGCAGAGTAATGGCATAGAGCCTACACCGGGCTCAAAGACAGCATGTCCTAGGACACCGCACCGTGAGGCACTAGACCCGTGTCCCTGGGAGACCCGTGTCCCTGGGAGAGAGGGTCGGAGACAGCACAACAGACGGGGAGGGAGGGTCGAGGGCACAGGATCGTCTACAAAGTAGCAGACCCGAGTCCCAGGGCTCATCCCCGACACCGGGTCCCACAGCCCCCTATGCTACTGTCAGAAGTGTTATTTAAAAAAAATTTTTTTTTAATGTTTATGTCTGAGAGAGAAAGACCGAGCGTGAGTGGAGGAGGGGCAGAGAGAGAGGGAGATACAGAATCTGAAATGGGCTCCAGGCTCCGAGCTGTCAGCACAGAGCCGGATGCGAGGCTTGAACCCACGAATTGTGAGATCGTGACCTGAGCTGAAGTCGGACGTTTAACCGACTGAGTCACCCAGGGGCCCCAAAGTGTCATCGCATTTTCGAGCCGTAACAGAAAGGGCACACGTGCGACCCAGCGTCTCAAGCCCTGGGCTTTGCGAGCGCCCCATTCTGCCCCACCTTGGGGAAACCACCTCCCAGTTCAAGGACCCGGGCTCACTCTGGGGACCTTGCAGATGATCAGGGCACACAGAGTGGTCCCCACTAGGGGCTGTCACCAGCACAGCGGGAAGTTTTAGAAACGGTCGGGATTACCTGGGACGATGAGACGGTGATGTGATAGAATTTCCCTTGTCCCCCCTGTGGGATGGCTCTGACGAAGAAGAACTTCCGGCCGTCCTTGGAGAACAGCGGCTCCTCGTTCTACGGACAAAAGCAGAGTGTGAAAAAGCTTCGTTGTGTGTGGAAAAGGTCTACCACAGACGATACATCCTGAGAGCCATCTCCTCTGCCGTTTGTAATGGGGGGTGCGGTGGAAAGAATCAACAGTGAGTGGGGCCTCTCCTCTCCTTGGGAAGCACGAGTCAAAGCTTCTGTTTCCCGAGAAACAATGAGGAATCCAGCAGAGCCTTCAGGAAGGCGCCGAGCGCGGAGCGGGCTTGTCGCAGGCCCCCAGGCGGGGCAGGACCTCTGCACGGAGAGCGCCCGGGGCACCTGCCCCTCTCACCGCGGCTCCGTGAGAGCAGAGCCCAGGGCAGCACCTGTCCAGGCACACCCGCCTCCACCTTGAAGAACCGAACCCCGAACACTCACAGGTTTGTGCCTGAAAACGAATTCTACCACGTTCGGTCTCGTCTTTTGTTCTTTAATTTAGTAAAGAACACGGAATAGCCCGCCAGGGAGACAAGTAAAAAGAGAACAGAACAGCAAACAAGGACACATTGTATTCATTCTAAGGTGCAGGTGCAGGAAACGTTCCTTCCAGGAACCTTGAACCAGAAGAGCGTGCCACACGGGCATTTGCCGGATGGCCCGTTTGCTGGGGTCTCTTGCCACTTCTCCTCGGAGAGGAATGGGCATTCCCAGCTCTCCCCCGGGGAAGGAATTCTCGGCTGGATTCAAAGCCGAGGCCTGAAGTGTGTTGCCCTATCCCTGCCCGGCCCCCCCCAGAGCTGAGCGGCCACGGCCCCGGGGTCGGGCCACCTCCCCGATGGGGGAAAAGGCATTTTGCTACAGCGGCATCTCAGCATCTCTGCGGCTCCGGCTTGGAAGTTTCCATCCGTGAACACCAATTAGTCGGCGACGATCTATATTTTCTGATTCAAGGAGCCGCACGCTCACGCGGCCGAGAACAAATGGTAAATAGGCCCCAGCTGGTGCCAGGAACGCACATTTCCCCACAGTGAGCGAGGAGACGCCAGCGTGATGCGCCCGGAGAAATAAACTAACATGTGATTAAAATGACATTTAATCTTCATGAATATTTGCAATAAAATGAAACCTTTAATCTGCAAATATTTATTTTTCTATTTAGAGCTGGCAGCGTGGTATTTAGACGCAGGGGCAATTGGAAAGTGAGTGGGGACTCTGGCTTTTTAAATGTGCTTTTATTTGCCAAGCCCCAGGGCGGATACTGCAATATTGCCTCCGTTTTCTGGGGAAGTGTTTGCACTTTTGGCAGAGAAAAATACTCTGAATAAAGGTAATAAATAATTAATTCCGGCCAGACGCTTTGCTTGCATACTGAGGGGGCCCTCATCATTTCGATGTCACCTTTACATTCATCAGGGAGCACGGTGCACCTGCCCTCAGCCTGAGACCCGCTTTCTGGGGCAGTAAATGTATTCCTGGTAGGAGAGTGCAATGGTTTTTGAGGAGGAGAGCCGGATGTCAGTGCTGACACTCAGGGCTTCTGGGGGAAGCTCTCCGGTCCCTCTCGGTAACAGGGAATCTGCCACACACGATGCCCCCTCTCCCCACCTCCATGCCACTCGCAGAGGATCCGTGAAGAAGGAGCCCTTTCTACTGGTGAGAGAGTCTTTGTGAAATGTTGGTACCACACCTGTGAATTCTTTCCAGAGAGTGGTTCCGGACACGCCCCTTGTCCAATCTCCCAGCCTGGAGTTTGAAATCACAAAACCAAAATTCTGGTAAAGGAAGAAAGACTGTCTGATGTCAGCCTACAGGATGCATCTTCAGCCAGAGGACGGGGTCCAGGGCTCTACACTGAATCCCCGTGGATCCACATCAGGACAGACGTTGCAAAGTCACGGGTGGTGGTGACGGAGTGTATGCATCAGGGGGGAGCTGCCTATTCTTCTGGAATATTCCTAGGAGAACTGGGTGGTTCCTAACTTGCCCTCCAGGACCTCGTGATATCCTGAAGGGTGTGAAAAACAGGGTCCACGGATCCCTTTGTGAAAAATCTCTTTGAACGTCGTGAGAAACTGGTGAAGCTAGACCTTCCTACTGGCCCTGGAGCGCTGTGTTCGTGATGCCTGAGGAGTGGTACCCAGAGAAAGCAGGGCCTCCCTACACTCCCCAGGCAGGGCCGCTCGCCGGCCCTGAGCGGGGAAAGCACCACCTTGGAACAGGTCCTCTATAGGACCTGCCGTCTTAAACTCAAGACGGCACGACACATTTCTCAATGGCTGTTTAAAAAATGTTAGCGGTTTGCTCGGTAAATGCCTTCAAGTCTGCATTGTAAAAGTGTGATTCTCCACGTGGCTTTGAGTGCCGACTTGATTTTGTGTGGAGAGAGCCGCTGTCCCAAGGCCATCCAGGCTGTCTGTCTGGAGCGTGGCTGGTGTTCTCAGGTGGGCCACGAGCTGCAAGGCTGATAAATACAGAAAAATCCCGGTGATGATGGCGTCTCCGCGATGAAGAGACCAGCAAAGCGGGCGGCCTCTTGGCCTCCAGACCGCGAGGACCCCCAGCCAGTGCTCCAGCCCCGCCCACAGCCAAACACCTGTCCGTGTCTTCTGAACATATCTTAGGGTTACTTCCATTTACCACACGTGGGATCCATGCCCGCCTCTCATCAACCTTCCTACCCCGTGCATCTTTGAGAGCTGCTGTTCCGGAGGATTCATTTCCATTTGGGTTTTTTTTGTTTGTTTAAAAACTGTACTGGGGTGAAATTCACATAAATTTGCTCCCCAACGCCCTCCCCCGGCCCGGGGAGCCAGCAAACAGCCGTCCCTTTCTGTGAACTCATTTATTCAGGACATTTTGTGTTAATGGAATCACACAACGGGCGGCCTCTTTGTCTGGCTCTGGGCTCCCCGCAGAAGGTTCTTGCCGCACTGCTCAAGACAGCCAAAGGGCAGAAACAACCCAATGCCCATCCACAGATAAACAAGCCGCGGTCTGTCCGTACAGTGGAATGTCGTTCAGCCACAAGAAGGAAGGTCGTCCCCACACCCGCCGGACAAGGGCTTGGGAGAAGTCGCTGGTTCAGTTTTGAGATCCACGGAGCCTAGGCGCTGTCTGGTCTGATCCGTAAGGAACTGGCCGATCAGACGACCACACAGATGATGGCTTTTCTTCGCTTTCACGTCAAGCTGTCTGACGTTCTGTCTGCTACAAGAGGGGCACCAGCACGTGTGTTTGCTATCTGCGCTCCTGTCACTGGTCCAGGGGGGCTTTCGGCAACTTCACAGCATGACCTCCCAGCTCACGTTTCGGGGTCCTCCAAGCACGCTCTCTTTCTTGGAGTCTTCTTAGCTTGGATGTGGCACCCACGCTCACACACAGGCAACAAGATCGGGCATTCGGGCGATTCCTCTTTCGGAAAAGACCGGCGAGGAGGAGTATTTCTTTTTTTTAAAAAAAATTTTTTTTTTCAACGTTTTTTATTTTATTTTTTGGGACAGAGAGAGACAGAGCATGAACGGGGGAGGGGCAGAGAGAGAGGGAGGCACAGAATCGGAAACAGGCTCCAGGCTCCGAGCGATCAGCCCAGAGCCCGATGCAGGGCTCGAACTCACAGACCGCGAGATCGTGACCTGGCTGAAGCCGGACGCTTAACCGACTGCGCCACCCAGGCGCCCCTGAGGAGGAGTATTTCAAAGTGAGTGTGCTTGTGTGCCCGTGTATGACGTTGCCGCCTTGGACGTAACCGATGGGAGGCTGGGACGGACAGCTGACTCCGCCGCTAGGGAAGTCCCGCCCGTGGGTCCGCGTCCAGCCACAGTTATTCTGTCCCCGGATTCTGTTGGCACTCGCTTCACCCCGATTCTCGAGACTCCAATCTGGTGTGATTTTCCCCACAAATGTTCAGACTGCTTTCATCCCAGCAGGCTGGATAGGAAGGAAGGAAGCCTCCAAAACTCTCACCTGTTCTTTGCCAGGGTGTGGAGTGAGACAAAACACCAGCCCTGAGAGCTTTGCTTTCTGCGGGAGTTTGTTTTTGGCTGCAGAAGTGGGAGTCCCCATCGGCCTCTCCCGACCTCAAACCTCAAGACCCCGGAGCCTGTTTAACGTGTACTTCTTGCCCGAGTAAGGACGGGAAGCCGGAGGTGGCTCCGAAGGCCAGGTTCCCGTGAAAGCTCACGCCGAACCCCAGCACGGTGCGCCTCCAACGGGACAGCCACAGAATCATGAGGAGAGATGTACGGCTACCAACCTGTTTTAGAGAGTACGTTGAGGCAGCGTTTATGGACTCCTTGTAATTCGCCACAAGGACATCAATCTAACAGAACGGAGTTCTCACCAAGCCCCGTACGTTCTCAAGAGCCGTGGTTTTCAAACTGTCTTTCTTCCTTGGTTCTGTGACTCTCCAGTCATGCACAAGGGCCACGGGGGGCAAGGAGGAGCCGGCCGAGCAGCCCCCACCACCCACCAGGGCCAGAAACCTCTGCGGGGCTACTGAGGGACTCAATGCTTGAGAAGCCATCGTGTTGTGAAAACTCGGAGAGCGCCGTGGTGGCGCATCTGGGGGCAGGTGCAGACAAAAGACAAGGCAAACGTGCAGTAGCTACCTGTCTGTGGAGCCAGGCTTCGCTTTCGTCCTCGTGTTTCTGAAACGAAATAAGAGCATTAGACAAAGGATGTTTTTGCATGGTTTGTGTCTGTGACCAACAGCGCAGAAACAATTTGATTCCCCTCCACGGTCGCTGCACAGGCACACAGAGCCATGGCCCGCCCAGGGAGGAGGCATCCCGGCCCGCCGTTGTGGCTCACCGCCAAACACTCGTGTCCCCGAACAAGAAAAACGTCGCCCTCCCCGGCAACGGGGACAAACCCATGGTGGGCGGGAATCCGGTGGAAGATGGCGTACTTCTGCCATATTTGGCCGTCAGTCCACGCGTGGGCCTGCTCGGAAGTGCTGCCTTGTTGTAGGGCTTTGTGAGTGTGCAGGTGTGTGGACGTTTCTCAAGCCACAGCCCTGAATAACAACCCCGGGAGCGAAAAGTAAATCTCCCAGAACCGTGTGGAAAGATGCAGAAAGGAAGACCAAACAGAACAAAAAACACCAGCTACGCCGTGGGCCTGCTCCCGGTGCTGGTCCGGCCTCCGGACGCCCAGGGAGGGGTTCTCTAGCCCCAAGTCCTGTACGGTTGGCAGGAGGGAGTCTCATGATGGACTCGCACGGGTCGGGGCAGAGGTGAGAGCAGGTGTAGATAAGAAACCATTCCCAGCTTCCTGGCTCTGCATCTACTCCTTCCTTCCCTCCTCCCCCTCAATATGCCTACCGGATCACCTGGAGTCTGCTCTCAGGTGACTCACGTGGGGACGTCTGTCTCGGTAACAGATCACTCTGTGCACCTGGAAAAGGCGGTGCGGCGAGATGCTTCCGGGCCTCCCAAGCCACAGTGAACCTTCTCTACAAGCCCTCTCCCTCCCCGGCTGGGGAATAAAAACTTAGGGGCCAAAAGGAGTTTCCGGAAGACCTGCTGGGCATTATTCGTGGAGTATAATTGACCTTTTCTCACCTAGCACGAGGGGGTGTGCCTCTTCGGGCTCACCTGGAAGTGTGGAGGCCTCACGCCCACGGGCCGGAGGGTGTGTCCTCGGCCGCCCCTCGGCTTGCATTTTCATTCTTTGTTCGCTTCCCTCTGGTACTTTCCATGGTATCGTCCCTACGTTCACCTCCTCTAACTACACATTAAGTCAGCCCGAGCCCCCAGGAACACAGCTGGGCTCACCGGTGACCTTCACGGACGGATGCGGCCCCAGGTGCGCCGAAAGTGGGCAAGGCAAGCCAGGTGGCAGGGCCGGCTCCACCCGTGTCCTGGGGGCTCAGGCTGCCCCTCCCCCTCTCTGATATCAACTGGAAAATGAAGAGAAGGCTCGTCTCGAGCATGCGGTGGGCGCAGATAAAGGGGGTTGACACATCACGGGCTGTGGAACTCATGCAGGTCTGAGGACGCGACCCCTGCGGTCGCGGAGGGCTCAGCCTTGACTTCTGCGGCAGTACACAATCCATCCACACGGTGGCACCAAAACAGAGGCCGGCAGGCGGGTTCTGGCCAGTCTGTGGACGGTGGCCCAGACGCCCCGGAATGCGGCCTCCCTTCCGCCTCCCGTCCTTCCTGCCATCGGCCCCTGTCCCCTCCCTCCCCGTACCTTTGTGCAGACCCCGGTGGTGGCGTCGCAGAGGGTGAGAAGGGACACGTTCTGCGCCCGGCTCAGCCAGTTCACCGCGACCTTGGTGCTGGTGGCCCACTTCACCATGGTGATGTAGTACTCCCTGCAAACACGCAAACACACGGGGTTGGCAGCGTTGCGGGGGCCGTGGGAGCCAGGAGACGGGCGCAGCCCAGCCCTGGACGCCGGGGCCGAGGGCCGGGGCCTGTCGGGCTGGACTCATCCCGGGAGGTCCTGAAATGGGGTTTCTCAAGAAGGTACTCGGATCGCGAACTGTGGCGGGCACAGCCAAGGCACTGACGTGCCCAAGTAAGCCACACAGCGAGGTTCCTTCTCAGCTGCTCCCTCCAGGGTTGCGGATAAAGTGCGCGCGGCCCAACGACTCCCGGAGGGGGAAGCGTGTGGCTTCTGCTCCGCGGGTCTTACGCGTCACGCTGCAGCTAGTGCTGACCTACTGGCTTGGGTTTCAAGCCACAGCCCAGGCCAACGCGCCACTGCAGCTCACGGGACGGAGAAGGAGTTCACACGAGCGGCTGGCAGAGCGAGCACCAGGAAGCGCTTGGAGAGACAGGCGCTCACGGCGCCTCACATGCTATAAAAACCCCGGGGCCACGCAGAGGAAGGCTCTGTGTGTCCCTTCCCTTTCCTGGGAAGGCAAAACACCCAGGGACGTTCGCCAGCTAATTAGGGAAATTGGTTCAGGGCCCTGGGCATCAGGCAGATTTGGTTGGATACCCTAGATGTCACACGGCTGCTTTTACCCAAACCTGAAAACGTCACACTGTTCTAGGTTACCCTGTACTTAGCACAAGGGGTGCTGGGGCTTTCAGCAATTAATTCACTCACCAATTCACCCAGAGTCCTTCAAAACTGGGAGTCTTAGGGGGAAACTATACATTTGAGAAAAAGAAGAAAACATGTGCAAAGAGACTATCCCTAGGTGAGTTCCCAGAATGTTCTAGAGGCCAGCTAACCTTTGTTCTATCACCTACCCCATCTATATCTATAATGAGATCTATTGTTAGGAATGATTACTTTGTGGCCTCACAAGGTCCTTCATCACTAAAGGCTCCAGCACATTCACGAGACAATTCCCAGCAAGCTCAAAACGGACCTTAGTACCTCCGATGATTATTTTCTTTTTTTTTTTAATTTTTTTTTTCAACGTTTATTTATTTTTGGGACAGAGAGAGACAGAGCATGAACGGGGGAGGGGCAGAGAGAGAGGGAGACACAGAATCGGAAACAGGCTCCAGGCTCCGAGCCATCAGCCCAGAGCCCGATGTGGGGCTCGAACTCACGGACCGCGAGATCGTGACCTGGCTGAAGTCGACGCTTAACCGACTGCGCCACCCAGGTGCCCACGATGATTATTTTCAACAGAAAGGCTTAAAGAACCAGATGTCTTCATCTAAGCTTTGGTTTAACCAGGAGATTGAATTGCTGTGTCCCCTATTTCTCGAATCCACCTGTCAATCAAAACTTTAAATAACTTAACCTAAGTCAAGAGCTGGCTCAGGCCGGTACCTTCTGCGTCGGGGAGAGGGGAGGCCCGGGGACTGCCCATCAAAGTCTTGGCCAATCTCCTGGGGACATGGCTGGTGAGGATGTCATTCAGGCATAATCCAACTTCATGATTTTCAACCTTCTCAATTTGCTGTGGTTTTGGAAATAGGGCTGTATCTGTTCCTACCATCTGCTCAGCAGGCCCACGGGCCCCGGGGACCTGGCTCTGTGTGTTTATAGGATCTGCCCGCTCCCCTGACGTGGTCAGGCTCCTGCTCTGAGGGGGGAGCATGGCCTTTTGGCAAGTCCTCTGTGGATGCCGGAGCCGACTTGTAATGCTAGGTTTGATCGTCTCCCCAGATGTTTGTAGGCATGAAAACATTTATTTAGCTTGGCCCTTAAAAACAACTCAGGGTCGGGGCACTGGGGTGGCTCAGTGGGTTAAGTGTTCAACTTCGGCTCAGGTCACAATCTCACGGTTCGTGGGTTTGAGCCTCATGTTGGGCTCTGTGCTGACAGCTCAGAGCCTACAGCCTGCTTCGGATTCTGTGTCTCCCTCTCTCTCTCTCCTCCACTTGTGCTCTGTCTCTCTCTCTCTCTCTCAAAAATAAACATTAAAAAAATTAAAAAAAAAAATAACTCAGGGTCTGTGCTCAGCCCTTGCTCTCCATATAATATTTCCTATTTTTAAATTATAACATGAATGATCCTTTGGTCCCTGTTTGACGGAAGGTGGAGAGAGACTGCTAGCTTGAAGGGCCATGGGACGCATGTGGCAAACTCGTGTTTTCCTGGACTGTGGGGCCTTTTGGATGCAGACATTTGCATTGAGGGTGTGTGTGCGACATCACAGTGATGAGCAAACATACTTCATCTGGATGAAATCAGGGAAGAAAAAGTCAGATCTCCTGGAATGACTATTTTTTTTTTCCCCCACGGCCTCCATACTAATGAGGGAGGACCCCATTCTTGTTTCCGTTTGTTGGACACATTCATGCGTCCTATTATGTGTCTTTCTAGGTTTTGTGATGTTCTTTTGCACCAACAATCTTCATAAAGGCCAAGTCTGAAGTCTTTCCCTTTAATTTCCCAGTTTGTAATACGAGACATGTCATAGAAAGGGAGAAATAACTGCACTGCAGATGAGGTCAGTTACACGTGGGCCCACTTTGCCTCGTCGTGTGGATTCTCACGGGGGCCCCGACCAATGAGCAGGTGCAGCGTCCCTCAGAGACGCCTGAGGGCTTTCCTCCCACACCTCACTGCACATGGAACTTGAATCCTCAGCTCCTCATTGGTATGATATGAATTTCAAACAAACTGAGGGCACCCTTTGAGATTGTATGGTGATGAAATGCAATGAGAAATATTTTTTAGAACTCTTGAAACAATTATTAAAGACGCTAGAAAGATGCTATAACATATCTTTCTAGAAGGAAGTGGTGCTTCTTCACGTTTTGGCAATTCCAGGATCTCCCATCGTGTTGCTGTCCATCAAACACTTGGGAGCCTTCGGCCCGAGTGTCCCTCAGAACCACACACAGCAGTCTCATTACTTGTACAGCAACATCTTGTCTCGAACCAACGTTTCCTAATCCCATGAATTGTATCCATGACTAGGCTTCATGCCAGATAAGCTCAGGGTATTTTAAAAAATCAAGTCAAGTCGTAAAGATAAAGCATTGCTCAGGGTGGGCAATTTAAAGGCTGGCAGCATCTGGCGAGGAGATGCAGAGCCTCACAAAGAAGCGGTACTCTAGAAAGAATGACTATTTGCTTCGTGAGGTTCATAGCGACACCATATGTTAATGGAAAGGAAAACACAATGTTTGCCCATTTCTGAAACTTTCCCTAAGAAGAGACCCATAAGTAGAAAGGTTCTCCTGGTTCCTTATATATTTTCCATTTTCCTCTAACTTTAAAGCTGTTTGCCTGACCGTTATATGCAGGAGAAATGGGTAGATTCTGACTGTAGGGCTAGTGTCAAGGTCCAAGGTCATGGCTCTGTCAAGCCACTGTTGGTTATGAGGGTTGGACCGTATGGCACACACATAGGGCCTCAGCAGTGTGGACGGCATGAGCCCATGGAGATTTCCAGCACACAGAGGCATCTGCTTGGCAAATGTGAGGAGGTCTTTACCAACTTTGTGTCAACGTGCCTGTAAAGACACAAAAAAGACGCAAAATCACAATACCACCGGAGTGAGTGCTGAAAATCTCCAGCATCCGTACATCGACGGAGGTGTGTGAAACCACACAGTGGCTTGCCCACCTTTGCTTCCCTCCATGAGACAGCAGTCGCCGAGCAGAAGGAGGACATAATCCTGCTCCCCAGTGTCTTATCCTTCCTCGGGAACACCACGCTCGTACCAGCCAGAAACGTGGGAAGTCAAACCTTTGCTACTTCGGTGTCGCAGACAATCATGACTTTTCATGGACACCTGTTGACTTAGATGTCAAAAAAAAAAAAATCGAAAGAAGGCAGAAGAAAGAAGAAAACTCTCAACTCAGCCAGCAGAGAGAGGCACGATGGATTCGGTTTAGATTCTGTCTTCCGATTTCATCGGAGAAGGTTCAAGCAGCACCCAAAAGTTCAGAGTCAAAAATAACCCCCAGCCGCATCTGCTGCCAGATTGCGTGGGTGGATGTCTCCTTCCTGAGGTGGAGTCATCAAGCAACACAAAGGAAGGAAAGGGGGGATCACATGGAAAACGTGAAGGCAGAACGGAGCCCTAAAAATACAGGGTGAGATGGAGGGGAGGAGGTGAAAGACTGCAGGGAAACCAAAGCTGAAAGTGAGAGAAATCCGACTAGGAGAAACTGAGCAAACCTGGGGAAGCTCTCCCAGAAGGCAGAGGAAGGTGCCACAGAGGCGACAGGAAGGGGCGGGGAGTGTCCCTTTCAAGGACATAAGAACTTCTCACAGGGAAACCAGAGTGCCGGGACCAGAATGATCTCCAAAACTCACAGAAGAGGCATCTCCGTGGGTTAAACAGGATCTGAATACGCAGGTTAAAAGGATTTTCCACATGCCAGGGAGATTAATAAAATGCCTAAATATGTTCTGATAGAATCTTTGAGTCCTAAGAAGAAAGGAATCTCACCACAATCTAATAAGGAAGTAAGTTTCGACAAAGAGTCAAAATTTAGGCTGATAGCAAATTTCTCTGCTGTTCTAGGGCTAAGGGGTATTTACATTTCAGTGTGTTTTTAACGACCGATATCTTGTCCTTAAGTACACCCCATAGTGAATCAAAAATTAAAGACTCAAAATTAAAAGCTTAGCATGGGGGTGCCTGGCTGGCTCCAAGGGTGAGCCTCTGACTCTTAGTTTTGGCTCAGGTCATGATCTCATGGTTCGTGAGATTGAGCCCTGCGTCGGGCTCTGTGCTAACAGCATGGAGCCTGCTTGGGATTCCCTCTCTCTCCCCCTCTCTCTCAAAATAAATAAACATTTTTTTTTTTTAAGTTTAGCATGTAAGAAGATGATCCAGAAAATCAATCATCTGTAACTAGTCCCAAACACCTATCGATTTGATAACCAATTTGAAGTAACAATCAGAAGTAATTATTATGTGACAAAACATGATAAAACAA